CGGAAGGACAGACGGACGGATGTATGAATAGGTCAAAGATAAATGGGTGGGTGCTGGAGTGGTGGGGAGGGGTACAACACATGGATGGCATGAGGGCTGGATATAGATAGTGGGCCAACCGGGACTGATAGGGCGCAGGGCCTGGCCTCCCAGTGTGTTTGCATGCATGTGCACCTGCCGCCTCTGGCTCTGTGTACTTCCAGTCTGACTTCTCTCCTCCATTTCATCCAGGTGAGGGAAGAAGAGAAGTTAGGGGGCCTAGGCTCTGCCGTGGCTCTGCTGACACTAGCTCTCTGATCTTTGTGCTTATTTTGCCCTCCTAACACCTGTTCACTCATCAGTTAAGCATGGGTTACAGCAAGCTGCTGACCTCATAGGGCTGTGTGAACATCACTAGTATGATGGTGGGACAGGCCCTCATAAGCTGCAAGAGGCAGATAAGAGTATGTCAGGGCTTTGGTATGGCACGTTGTGAGCACAATCCTGGGATGACCCCCAATAGCTTCGTTGTAGGGCATGTCTTGAAATATGTGACTGTTAATAGCCTCAGCATAGGCGTGTCCAGATATACATGACTGTGTCCTGACATATGTGGCAGTTAATAATGGGCATATCCCAATATACATGGCCCAGTTCTAGTCCCAGACTTTTCTATGGCTCTAGCCATAGAAGGAATGCTGACTCTGGTCCTAGGCTGAGTTCTGAGATAGTCCTGTCTACAGGAAAGGCCCTGATCCTGGTTCTAGACTGATCCCCAACCTTGGCTTCAGGCTTTGTTCATTCCCAGCTATAGAAGGAACACTTACCTGTGTCTGAAAATTGTTCCTGATCTTACAAATAGAGTGACCCCTGACCTTGTCCTGGCCACAGGTTGAGCTACCCCCTCCTTTCAGGCAGACACTCTTGACTGCAGTGTCATTTAGTGTGGACTTCAGCCACCAAGATAGGTCAGGCTGACATGGTCATACTTTTCTTCCCCATAAATATTCTGAAGAAAGTAAAAGCCAAAAGGATATAGCCAACTCAAGACAAAGGAAATTTCCCAGACCTCAAGAATGAAAAGAGAAGTCAGTTAAGTGAGAGGAAGCTGATGATGCTTCCATAGTCCATGAGGGCTTGGGACAGTGTTATAGACCCTAATGGCAGGGGCTAGGGTTCTGTTGCTCCCACAAAGCCAAGAGATGAGGCTGTGGACCCATGAGAAGTGGGAAAACTAGAAGCAAGCCCAGGAACCAGCATTAGCATCAGAAGAACTAGAAATCAAAGAATATGAAAGAGGCAAAATAAGGTGTTTAAATACAAAGTTTAAGGAAACTAACAGAACTCATAAGGAACAGGACAGTACAAAAACAAAACAAAACAAAACAAAAACAAAAACAAAAAAACAAAAACAAAAACAAAAAACAAAACCAAAAAGAAAAAACCCAAAAACCAAAAACCAAAAGATGAATAAACAGATTTTAAAAGATCCCTAAAGAACTGTTATGGAAACAAAAGGTATAGTCACTGAGATTAAAAAATCCATGACTGGGATAAACAGTGTACTAGATTCAGCTGAAGAAAGAAACCGTGAATTAGAAGGTAATTCTGAGGAAATTATCCCAAGTGCAGCACAGAAGGATAGGGATATGGAAAATATCCCTAGAGATAAGAGATGATGGAGAACAAATGAGAAAATCCCAGTCTAATGAGAGTCCCAGAGGGAAAGATTAAAATGAGGAAGAGGCAATATTTAAAGAGTACATGGCTAAGAATATTCAGAAATTGAATAAGGACATGAAATTCCATTTTGAAGAAGTATAAACCCCAAGCAAGGAAATAACAAATCTACATCTAGAGCTGTCATAGTAAAACTTCACAACACCATAGACAAGAAAAATCTTAAATACCAGGGAAAGGAGCTGGATGACATAGAAAGGAACAATGGTTAGACTGACAGCAGACTTCTCATCAGCAATAGTAGATGCTAGAAGACAATGGAACAATAACTAAAGTCTTGAATTAAAATGCCTTTCCACCTAGAATTCTGTCCCCAACTAAACCCACTCATTGAAGAGTGAGGCAGAGAAGCTGGCAGACTTTTGGCCCCAGGGTCACAAAGGTCCAAGACTAGTTATGGGGGAGCCGATCTGTCATACTGATTGAGAATGGAAACTGATTGACAAACCAGTACCCGTAGGCACCTGGGTCCGGCTGGACTCCAGACCAAGGCTTTGGTGGGTGGGTCCCAGGAGTCTCCTTCCAGAGGCTGTCACATAGCCATGATGAACTGCATGTTCAGAAGGGACCCTCCTAGTTCTGCATGAAGAGGTGCATAGGCAGCCTGAGATCTGTAATCCAGGGGCCAGGGGACTGAGCTCTGCGGAAACAGAAGAATTGCCTTCTGCTTTATGGGATGCTTCTGTCTAAAGAAGCTCCTTCCTCTCTGCTGTGATCCGGGGCCCTCCTGCTGCTGTGTGACAGGGTCGTTCCGTACACCCTTGTCTTTCGGTGGTGTTCTCTCTTGCTGCCTCAGGTCAGCATTGTTTCCACCATTTTTTTCCTGAGCAGAGTCTGGGGGAAGGACAAAGGGACAGCTTCGCACAGAGCCTCCATGCACACTGCTGAGTGAGGGCGGGCTCACAGCTTATGTTGAAGCTGGACCTAGACTCTATGTAGCTCCATTCAGAGAGGGAGAAGCTACTCCTGCCTCCAGAGGACAGCTGTCGGGGGAAACCAGACTGCTTGCTTACTTTCTGTAGGTTTGAGGAGGCCAGGCCAGCATCAGGGTTTCCCTGGGTACCTAAGGGGTCATCCCATGATTCAGTGTTTGTGCTTTTATAAGATAGAAATAAGACCTGTAGGCTCATTGGCAGCATAAACATGTCAGTTCTCTGTCACACTGTTAAGAACTGATAGAACCTGTTAGGATGCTGTGGTCTATTGAGAAGACGGCCTGAACACCTGGGAAGAAAGGAAAGTGTGAGGCCGCAGAAAAAGCAGGTGGCAAGGGTGGAGACTCACGCCCATATGGCTTCTTGCTCCTTGGTGGGTGTGGGGGAGAAGCAAGGTCATGCAGGAGGGAGAGGAGGTAAAGAGCATACTGTGGGGGATGGTAGTGGCAGTGTCCAGAAAATGAAGGCCCGAGGTGACTGGCGGAAATGGGGTTGAGAGGAAGAGGTTGGGGTAGGAGCCCTCCTCCTAAAGCAGGTGGTGGGAGGAGACGGAAGGGTGGGGCACTCCCAGTGCCCTTCAGCATGGTCAGTGGTCACCACATGTCCGTCTGCCTGAACCAATAATGAGCCGGCTGCACAGAGCAGTGGAGACTCAGGCCAGGGAGGGCCTTGGTGGGTCTAAACCTCTCCTATTTCTCTGCCTTCCTGTGAGAAATCTGGGGCTTTTGGGTCCCTTTTTCTTTCATGATGGGAATGTTAGAGCAGGTGCCGTGCTTGAGTGTGATATCTGATTAGCCGTGGTCTGGCAAACACATTGACCTGCTCTTTGATACTGTACGGAATACTCAAGGGTGACCACTGCAACTGTTAGTGGCCTCTGAACTTTTTTTTTTGGGCGGGGGTTGCCTTTTTTCTGAACAAACATTTGATTGAACTGAGTATGATTAAGTTGTGTGTGGACATCTCCACACGTGTGTGCATGCCTGTGTGTGCATAAGTGCAATTATGCATATGTGTGAGTGGAGGTGCATGGATGTGTATGTGTGTGTGCATGTGCATGTGTATGCATACACACAAGCATGTATACCTGCTTGTGGTTGTTTCCACCTTGAGTTTCAAGCTGGGTACCAACTTGGCATTTGGGCACATTTGCCACTTGGGGTCTGATAGGGAGGGTTAGGCCAGGGTTGTACAGGATCTGGGAGGTCCCGGTTGTTGGAAGGGGTGGGAGTTGGAAGGGGGCCCAGATGCCGATGGATGAAGCCTGCCTCTTACCCCTGTGCTCTGTTTCTTGATTGCAAGCCTCCATTCGGAGAAGGAAAGGGGGTGAGTCATCTGCTGTGTCCCCATGACCCCAGCTTTGTTTGACCCTGTCCAGGGAAGTGCTGATGTGTGAAGAGGCTCCATGTCAAGTCAGGGTGCTCTGGAAGCCTGGGCTGTACCTTCCTGTTGGCCTTCTCCCTGGGGATCTGGTGGGGGTGCAGTAGAGGGAGCTGGGGAAGGATGGATGGGGGG